GGGGGGGGTCAGAGTGGAGAAGAGACAAAAGAAAACCCGGGGAGGGGGGTCCCATGGGCGGGAGCAGGAAGCCCTGGACGGGACAAGGCGGCGGGAAGTGACAGGGGTAGCCTGGAGAAGGGCGAGGGAGTGCCTGTGTATCCACTTCTCGCGCCCCCAGGATTGCAGCGACCAGCTCTGGCCTTGGGGTTGTCCCCACTGCTAAGCCGCCCAGGGTTCCCCACTGCCCTCGGGGCTCTGGTCTCAAGAGATCCAGTCCCCTGATTTCCCTAGAATATCCCTTTCACCACTGCAAGGCCGCAGGGGGTTTGGAAGACAGAGTCCAAGTTAGACCTCGGGTGCCCCGGGTCGCTCCCATAGGGCCGCTGCACCTGCTAAAAGTGGGCGCCCCACGAGCGCGCCGGCGAATGAGCCTCCCCACCCACGGAGGCCTAGGACAACCAGATGGCCTTTAAATGGGGGGGGGGGTTCCTCTGGGGATCAGAGTGAGATGGCGTCCCAGGACCTTGTCCCACCGGTATGCCCAGTCCTTGTGCTACGCTGGGGTGGGGACGTGGTGAGTGGCCACCAGGTCACAGAGCACATTGGAAGTACCCCTTGTCATCAGCAGTGTCTTAGGACGTGGAGGTCCTCAGTCCAGGACCCCTCCTGCCCCTCTTTCCTGGAACCTGCTCCTCAGTGCACCAGTGATCCTTTGTGTGAGAACTGGAATACTTTTTGTATCTTTTAACTTAATAGATTTTTTTTTTTTTTGTCATCGAAGAGTTTCAGGGGATAAAATGTTCCCATATTAAGATTTTGGGCAATATTTAACTCCAGTTAAGGGCAGATGATAGAGGAAGAAATCACTAACTTTACACACAGGATTAAAAAACCTTGACTCCAATCTGGTAGGGCAAAGAATATTAAGGCACTGGGCCCAATAAGGTGTCAGGCCAGGCTATTTTAGTACATTAATGTAGGAGGGATTTTTTTTTTTTTTTTTTTTTTTTTTTAAGAGCAGGATAGGTGCTTTAAGATGGATATCTTCTTCCTGGGAGTTCACTGAGAAAGTTTGATAAGGTGTATATATACCTTAAAAGTGTTCATCTATTGGGCCACAAGTTCTGTTTGATTGACTCTCCATGCAGTCCCAGCTGGCCTGGGACTGGCCATGTAGACAGAACAGAGCTAGCCTGGATTGAGCTAGCCTGCCCCCCCCCCCCCCCCCCCCCAGTGCTGGTGTTAGAGGCCTGGGCACAGTGCCCGGTTCTAAAGACACTTTTTGCAGTGAGAATGAAACTATGTAATCACAGAAAAGCAAGCAGAGCAGTGGTGGAAAGGCATGCAGCTAATAAAAATACATTTACAGAGCTTTTCTGTTTTGTTTTCTATTTGTTTTCCCTCCCCGTTCTGGGGATAGTACCCAGGGCCTCTACAGACTGTAGGAAAATGTTTAACATATAAGGTTGAAAAGTCCAAGAAGTGGGCTTTTGAGCACAGGAGTTACTTAGGATTTAAAAGAACATTTTGTTACATTGATTTATGTATGTACCTGGGCATGAATGTGGCAAGGCAGGCATGCTTGTGGAGGTCAGAGGCCCACCTGTGGGAGTGATTCTCTCCCTCCACCACATGGGTTCTGGGCTGAGGTTGTCAGGCTGGCAAGTGTCTTGACCCACTGAGTCATCTCAAGAGCCCTGGTTACTAAGGCTTTTGAGAGACCTTAAAGATATTTTGTAAGCTGGGCCTGGTAGTGCACATCTTTAATCGCAGCACTCGGGAGGTAGAGACAGGTGGATCTATGTGAGATGGAGGCCAGCCTGATCTACATAGTAACTTCCAGGCCAGCTGAGGCTATAGGGAAACCCTGTCTCAAAAAGACTCCCCCCCAATTTTTTTCTAAATTTTCAACAGTGAATATATTACTTTTTATTGTGGCAAAATAAAATGCAAATGAACCATTTTAGCCATTTTCAAATGTACACATAAGTGACATTAAGCATGTTCCATCCTGTCATCTCCAGACCCCTTCATCATCCCGCACTGAGACTCTGTCCCCATTGAATAACTGGGGGGAGGGTCTCCTCCACCCTCAGCCCTTGATAACCACCACTCAAATAATTAATGTAAATGACATGCTGTCCAAGAGGTAGAGTACAACTGATAACATCCATAACTATGTGTGCTTTTAAAAAATGTATTTATTATTATTGTGTGTAAGTGCCATGGAACTTATGTAGGGGTCAGAGAAGAGCTTTGTGGAGTCTGCTCTCTCCTTCCACCTTTATGTGAGTACCAGGGATCAAACTCAGGTTGTCAGGCTTGCATCATTGGTAGTGCATTTACCTGTGGAGCCATATCGCCAGTCCAACTATGTGTGCTTTTAATAAAAGTGATTCATTGATAAGATAAAATGAGGGGGTTTTGTTTCATTTCTCTCTCTCTCTCCCTCTGTCTCTCTCTCTCTCTCTCTCTCTCTCTCTCTCTCTCTCTCTCTCATTCAATATATATACACAACAATTAAATATACAGCATAGGCATACCTCTACATATACTTGAAAACATGTATGGGCACCAGCACACACATACACAGAGACACATTTCTCTCTCTCTCTCTCTCTCTCTCTCTCTCTCTCTCTCTCTCTCATTCAACCTATAAATACAGGAATTAAAAATACAGACTAGGACTGGGGTGTAGCTCAGCGGCAGATTGCCTGGCATGCAAGAGGCCTCAGGTTGACCCTGGGTTGGATCCTCAGTCCTAGGAGACAAACAAATGTATTATAATGGAAGAAACAATTTTACTGAAGTAGCTGGGAATTTAAAGGGGAGAAAGCTAGTCCTATGAGTGCGGATTTGACCCAACAGGATCCGCCCACCTATCTTTCTCCATAAAATTTTTCCTTATCGCCATCACATTCCTTCTATTTAACCTAGAAATTGCACTTCTTTTACCCATCCAACCTTTTCTGTTACAGAACATAATAACTTCTCAAACTTTGAGTTGGGGCAGATCTTCAGGCAAGAGGAAGTAATTTGGGAGAAGAGCTAGAAAGTTCACTAGGCCCTTAGTTTATAATCTGCGGAACCCGCAGACTTCATCCCTACCTTGGGAGATGATGTAGGAAATAAATGAAGATCCTATTTCTTTCATTAAAAATTCTTTTTCATGGTGCTGACTTTCAGCAAGTACTTGGAGACAAAGAGTTTAGATGTCAATCTAAGGGTTTCCGGCAAGCCTAGGAGGATACCAAAAGTCAAAACATCTAGGAGGGCAGAATATTTTTACATAAACAGTGTTGAAGACCAACAGGGAATGATCATTTCCTTTCCTTCTGTTTAGCTCAGCCTTGCTTCCTGTAATCTGCTTCTGCAGATTAAAACAGCCTTCTGCAACTCTGGGAGCTGTTTTAGAAGTTACAAGACACGTTATTATGAATCTTCGTGTTATTTTGTAAAGAACTTTTTTTTTCCACTGCTGAGAATCAAATTTAAGGTCTCATATGTGCCAGGTGAGTGCCTTACCGCTGAGTGACGCACTGAGCTCAAGATTTAAAAAAATTGGGGGCTGGAGAGATAGCTTAGTGTTAAGAGCACTGGTTGCTCTTACAAAGAACCTGGGTTCGATTCCTAGCACCCACATGGCTATTAACAACCATCTGGAACTCCAGCTCCAGGGGATCCAATGCCCTCTTTTGACCTCCTGAGACATTGGATGACATGGGTGCACTTACACACATGCAGAAAACACACTCATACATAAATAATAAAAATAATTTTAAAAGATTTAAAAATTTAATTACATATATCTACTTATTGTGGGGAGGGAGCACATATGTCACTGCCCTTGTGTGGAGGTAGAGGAACATGTTTGGGAGTCAGTTCTCTCATTCCATGATGTGGGTGCCTGATTGAACTCAGGTTGTCCAGCTTTGTAGCAAGTGCCTTTATCCACTGAATCATCCCTCCGGACCTCAAGATTTTTAAAAAACATTTTATTTATTTTTTAAAAATATTTTATTATTATTATTATTTTATGGTTATGAGTATATTGCCTGCATGTTTGTGAGTGCACCCGTGTCATGCAATGCCGTGGAGGTCAGAAGAGGGCTTCTGATTCCCCTGGAACTGAAGTTAAGGATGGTTCGTAGCTGCCATGTGGGTGCTAGGAATCGAACCCGGGTCCTCTGCAAGAGCTGAGCCATCTCTCCAATCCAAAGTTAATTTTTTGAAAAATTAAACTTTGCTTTTGTTGATTTTTCTCAATTTTCTATTTTAATTTTTTCACTTACCATTTCCTTCCTACTGATTTTGGTTATATAGCAGCCAGGCATGGTGGTGCATGCCTTTAATCCCAGCACTCAGGAAGCAAAGACAGGCAGATCTTTGAGTTCAAGGCCAGCCTGGTCTACATAGTGACTTCCAGGATGGCGGGGGCTATAGGGAGACCCTGTCTCAAAAAGACCAAAAAAAAAAGCCTTGGGGCTGGAGAGATGACTCAGTGGTTAAGAGCACTTACTGCTCTTTCAGAGGACCCAAGCTCAATTCCCAGCACCCATATGGCAACTATGAGATGTCCTTCTGACCATGACATGGTGCACACACATACATGCAGCCAGTACACTCATACTCATAAAATAAAAAAACAATAATAAAAAGAAAATAAAAAAAAAATAGCCGGGCATGGTGGCACACGCCTTTAATCCCAGCACTTA